ATTTTTTTTTTTTTTTTTTTTTTTTTTTTTTTTTTTTTTTTTCTATTGGCTTGTATGCAATTGCCAGCAACTGTGGGCTGGTTTGAAGTCAGAGGTTCTGACACATAGCTCATACTTGCACTGATAGTACCAATATATAATTGCCCTGAGGAGATCAGCCATTTGCCACCGCTTTAGCTTCATGTAAACACCGTCGTGAGACACTCACCTTAAAAGGGTCTCTTTGCCTATATGTAGTCACTTAAAAGTAGGTAAATGTTAGCACTAATTCTTCCTGAGCAAGTGTTACTTCTTGTAAATCCTCCATGGTCTCATTTTCTGTGATTCTAACACTTCCCTGTACTTCATGCTCTTGGTTGCTCTCATCTATCACTGAACGAACCTGTGATGGCCCTGGTTTAGCCTGCTTCTGCCCTTCTTACATTTTCAGCAGCTATTCCAGGAGTGCAGAGATTATGTGCTAGAACAGAGGGCTTCTATTTCATGCCAGTGTGATTACAGATTTTCTGATCCCTGTATACACTGGAGTAGCTAGGAAAAGAAAACCTCTGCTTCTCTTACACAAGCAAAAGTTTATAGCAACGTAACACTGCACACAAGTTGTGGTCTCTTTCTTTGGCATCTATGTCATGGAGAAATTGCTCAGGTTTACATGGGGATTAACTTAACGTGTATACCTCACTTAAGGAATGATTAAAGCAATGCCATCAGCATCTGTTGTACATGTGACTTTTGAAATACTTGTTGCAAAAATTGTTTTAGAAGTCAATGTTTCATATTGTTCCATGTAAAATATACTTGTAGTAATTCAAAATGTTCTCTGGCTTTGGTTTGGACATTAAAAAAAAATAAATTATTTGACTTTTAACGTCTATTATCAGTACTTTATGTTAGTTTGAAATGAGTCATTTAAAACTAGCTTGCTTTGTGGATCGTGGAAAACCTGAACAACAGAAACACATTATGGGGCGCAACTAACTCCTCTTGTTGTGACTTGAACACAGTGCTAATCTTCTAAATGACAGCAGAAACAGTTCCTGTTTGACTGTGAAGTTCCTAAGGGAGTAAGAAACTGTGCTAATAGTTGTGCAGCTAGCCCTGAAAACATAGATCCGTCCTACAGCTAATGAGCAGCAAACTACATTTTTCCCCAAAAATGTAATCCAACATGAGGAACTACTTCTTTCACTAACCGAGTATTTTACTATTAGTCAGTGTTGACTGAAAAATATCTCCTTTTGTACAATGACTGTGAGTTTCTTGAGATTGGAGTAGTCAGAAAAAGGTAAAATATATTAATTGACTATAAGAGTATATCTGGATGGGGTTATAACACAATGAACTCTGTACTGCTGTGTGGAAAGTCCTGGCTTGTCTTTCATTCATTTGGCTTTTTTTTTTCCCTCTGTTTTTTCAAAAGTCCTCTCAATTAGCTTTTCCACTAGAAATTCAAGCAGTTACCTAGACCTGGTAGAGAAAAAAGTTTACAGGTGTACTCTCTACCAAGAGTAGGATGAGGGCCATATCTGGGTAAAGACATGACATTATTTTTGCAGTTTCGTTGTTTAGAGATGTTGTATTGATTGGGCTTGAATTAGGCACATCTGTGCTTGATACCTTGTACGTTGATGTACCTAAATGCACAGCGTAACTATGAAAATAAGAACAAAACATAAATCCAAGCAACTGACTTCAGTAGTAAGGTTGACTGGGTTATTCAAATGGCAGGATGATGCCCTTACAAGCCTTGTTCTTGTTCTCTGCCTCTGTCGATAGCATGCAATCCTTCATACCCACACTTGTTGAACAGGAAGTTTCATTTTCATGGAAGACTTTAATGTTGTTTATTTAGTTCTTTTCCCCTTGGATGCAAAGTTTACTGTCCCTTGCCTTGAGTTTGGCCTGCTTTATTCACAAGAGCACAAAGCCTCTGATTCTGGATGCTCTAAGATCACACCACTGCTGTTGTGAAAAATGCTGCTGCTGATGCACCAAATACTGTTGCTACTTCTGTACGGGTCTGCTAGTTCTCAGCAGTCTGC